CGCCTAGAAAAATAGAAGACTCAGTGGTGGATCGACTCGGTGCGGTCCAGTGCCCTGGATGCGCAGCCATCAGCTCTCTCTCGCCAATGCATCAACATAGTCTCTTCATCTCTATCTTCTCTCTCTCTCTCCGTCTTCTCTTTCTCTCCTCTTCCTCTCTCTCTCTTTCTCAGGTTGTCTACTGTTTAAATTCGTGTCACATTTAAACTTTAAAACACAGAAACATGAAAACCTCTGGTCTGGTGTAGACGTATCGGTCGGGCTGAGCTGACAGCTTCACTGCTAAAAGACTAAATATGGTCATGATTCAGAAGCAGACTGCAGGTTTTCGTCCCATCATTCTCTGCGTTCTCTGGACTCTCGGCAGGATTAGAGAGAGTGACAGGAGGGATTGTTTATTTGGTCATTTTGTGAGAGGTTAACACAAACTGGTACTGTTAGAGGATGATGGAGGCTGTTGTGATGAGCTTGTCATGTGTGCGGGGGCGGCGCCGTCGTCACCGACGGATTGATTCCCAGCTCTTCCTGTCTGTGTATTGAAGCCTTTGTCTTGTGGAGAGATCCTGACTGTCCCAGACTGTGTCTGATGCGATGCTGGTGTGTGAATGTGTCTGCGAGCGTGAATGGGTGCGTGCGGTTTGTTGTGTAAAGCACTGTGTGTGAGCGGTTGATAAGACTAGAAAAGCTCTATACAAGTGCAGTCCATGTACTCGTATGTAGGCCGAACAATCCCAGACACGCTGCACCAAACTGTACAAACTCATAGATCTCGACTCCATCAATATGTCTGATTTTTATAACATCAGGATCCAAACGTCATTTCCTGAGAAATGGACTTAAATGTCAACAAAAATGTCTCGTCTCAGAACCAGGTCCTGTCACTTCATATCATACAACCGTTTACGTAGAGCACATTGCTTGTCACCGATTATTTGGGGGGGAAAAAACAGCTCATAGAAGACTGCGGGATCTACAGCAGGCGTCAGCATCACGATTTCTGAAAGTTGCCGAGTGACAGAAGTCGATTTTCGTCCAGGCCGGCAGACAGTTTGTTTCGAAACTCTGTGTGTGTGTGTGAGTGTGTGTGTGTGTGTGTGTGTGTGTAAAATGCAAATCCACAAGCGTGGAACTGAGATCCACAAATGCTTTTTCACTTCACAAACTACACAAACAGAAAATCGATTCACAAATACCTGATTGAAAGTTGTAAGTGTTAAGAAGATATTCACAAATGCTTTTCATTTATTTGTAAATGAACTGAGTGTTTCACAGGTATGTTTTTTATTCGTAGAATTAGTTGGTGTATTTGCAGATCCCTTTTATATTTGCAAGATATTTTTGTGAGTTCACAAATGTATTTTTTTGTATTTGTGGAAGGTGTTTTATTTTTTACAGATTCTGCATCATCTGCTCACGCAAATAATATTGAAACAAATCTACTTCCATATTTTTCCATAATCCTCCTGACAAACCAACCAACCAACAAACAGACATGTGAAAACAGAAGCTCCTTGGAGGAGGTGAAGATGTTGACGGTGCTGTGTGGACAGAGTAACTTCAGGTCAGGAGCGTGTCCATGAAGTCCAGGCGGTGTGATGAGGAAGTGAGGCTCGCCTCCACATGACAGAGTCAGAATGAAACTGGATCTGATTCTGTTTTTCTCTTTAAATCCTACGTGAAGCAGCGCTGACATTTAGCCCTTCATCACAGGTGGAACACCGTCAGGTCACTCTGCTGTGTTTTGTACAGTATGTGGTCCTGTGTCATTCGTTGGTAAAGATTCACACCTCTGACTCAGACCTGCACACAGAGTTTTTACGTGTCCCACCACGGCCTCAGGGTCACGCTGAGAGATGTTCGGTCTCATGGCCTCGGGCCGCCGAGCTCTTGTTTCTGTAAAAAAAAAAAAAAACTTCTTCTCCTGGTGGAAACTTCCCCGAAGCTTCATACCTGGAGTCTACGACATGCTAACTCCTCAATGCCAATAAATCCTAGGAAACCAAAAGCAGTTACACAACTGTAAAGCCCATTACAAAGTGCGTGTGTCTGTGTGTGTGAGAGAGAGAGAGTCTGGGTATCATGGGATAATCCGTAATTCATTTGTAATTTAAAAACCAAAAAAAAAAGGAAATTTGTCAATTGTTTCAAAACCAAGTAAAAAACATGGTCTGTTTTTGGCTTTTATCATATGGCTTTTTGGTTGAAACCAAAAACCGAATTCAGATGGTTTTACCGTATTTGAGTTTTAATTCTAAACCAAAAAGAAAAAACTAAATCACGTGGTCTGATCACTTTTGTTTCCAAAAAAAATCCAGAAAATCAAATCAAACCAAAATCATTCAACTTTGGTTTTTGCCAATTAATTTTTTATTTTCTCATTTGGTAGAAACAGTAGAGCAGTGGACAGACAGGAAGAGGAAGTGTAAAAAAGTCAAAATAAAAGCCAAGCGGACATAAAAGTGTGTCACACTATATACTTTATATATATATATATACTGTATATAAATATATATATATATATATACACACCATCATACAGTGTCTCAGTCAGTTGTTGATCCAGAACAGCTTCACTGCTCCATGTCTCTGAACTCTACTGGAAGATGAACTACATTTTTCATAATCATATTGCCTCATGTGGTGTTTTGATGATGGTGGTGGAAAGCGCTGTCTAACACGTCGCTCCAACATCTACCATAGTTCAGCTGGACTGAGATCAGGCGACTGTGACATCATTATCATCCTCATCAGACCATCAGTGACCTCTGTGACCCCTGTGGCCTGTGGATGGAGACACTGTCCTCCTGTTATATGCTGTTATTATATTCAGCACAGACTCAGTTAGATTCAGACTAACCAGGCTTCAGCAGTCAGGTGTGTGTTCTTCTAGTTAGATCTTGTCCTCTGGTTGGAGGTGTGTGTGTGAACCAGAGAAACCAGTTACTGTGCTGTTGTGTTGTGTTGACTGGCTGACTGGTGTAGGCTCCCACACACAGGGACTTTATTGCAGGTTAGTGAAAACCTTAATAACCAGGTTCCAGATGTTTGCTGTCATGCTTCCGCTCAGAGGGGATTCTTGTGGGCTTACTCAACAATGGCAGTGGTCTCAAATGACAGCCTTTACTTTCCTCACTCACGTGGCCACACACACGTGAGAGCACGCTGTACACCCACCCGACTCGGTGAAGGTGTCACTGCGATCTCATCGTCTCACCAACACACTCCCGTCCGTCCGGTCCTGAGCCCTCAGCCCCTGAACCCAACACAGACACACACAGGTGGAAACCATGACAGTGTATGTATTACCAAACTGAAACTCCCCTCGGTTCACATCACCCGCTCAACAATGTTGTGTGACTGGTGTGAGACAGTTTGCACCAGCTTTCTTCGACAGCAGTGTGTGTAGTGTCTCTGCTGTGATTTATTCTTTTCCTTTACCTGGGAACTACGGTGGCCCTGAAAGCTCAACGCACTGCAACTTTAGAAAACACATGTAAACAGACAAAACACCAACAACTTCAGAAAAGATCTTCATCAGTTTGACAACACGTGAGCTGCAAATACTCACAGCACAAGGGAAGTGTTTCCAGGGGGACACTAAAAAGTGATGAACCTGGCTGGGACGCACTTGTTGTTCAATGTCTTGTGACTTTCGAAGTTAAAAACGTTGAATAACAAGTGCACACGGGTGTATCATAATACATCCTTGCAAGTTAGTGAACATCAGTACGAGATACACAATGTAAACAAGACCGATTGTAGCAAAAATGCAAATTTACATCTGAACTCCATAAAACAAAAAGTCACAAATACAAATATAACAAGTATAAAATACACAAATAAGAAGACAAACACATTTTGCTGCGTACTGAATTAGAAGTGATTTGAATTGTGATTTTCTCCCCTGGTTGCTCACTGGCTGCAGATTTGACACCTCAGCATGTTGATTTGATGGATTGATTGTAAACCCCCCCCCCCACCTCTGTCTTTCTCTGTGTAGTGATTGAAGAGAAGGGGGTGAAAATGAAGCTGACAGTGATCGACACTCCAGGATTTGGAGACCAGATCAACAATGAAAACTGGTAAGTGGCAGGAAGGTGGAGACAAGAGAGGACAGATGAGAGGAGACGAGAGAGGACAGATGAGAGGAGATGAGAGAGGATAGATGAGAGGAGACGACAGAGGACAGATGAGAGGAGACGAGAGAGGACAGATGAGAGGAGACGAAAGAGGACAGATGAGAGGAGACGAGAGAGGACAGATGAGAGGAGACGAGAGGAGACGATAGAGGACAGATGAGAGGAGACGAGAGAGGACAGATGAGAGGAGACGACAGAGGACAGATGAGAGGAGACGAGAGAGGACAGATGAGAGGAGACGAGAGAGGACAGATGAGAGGAGACGAGAGAGGACAGATGAGAGGAGATGAGAGAGGACAGATGAGAGGAGATGAGAGAGGATAGATGAGAGGAGACGAGAGAGGACAGATGAGAGGAGGAGATGGTGATCTCCAGAACTGGATAATATCATTGTGAATAACTGTATAACTAAATAACTGTACGACCATCTGGACTGTCTTCTCTGGATGTTAAGGATGATTGTCCTGCTCTGTCCTCTGTGTCCTCATGGATGTAAACATCTCAAACACCTACCGTCTGACTGCTCTGTATGGTGATCACTATATGAAAGTGAAATATCCTTTTATTCACATTTACCCACAGTTCAGTTCCTGACATATATGGTGTCAGTGGAAACAAAGAGATTGACCAGGATCTGGATTGGAATTTAAATGTTGCAAAGTTGAAGAGATTGATTTTAGAACCTAGGTTTAGTGATTTTCTATATTCTTCTTACTGTCAGCAAATTCTACGAAAAGACTGAAAGCAACTATTCATGTTTCATACTGACAGGTTTGTGTATCTAGATCCTCTGAGCCACAGCGCTCCATTAGAACCACATCAGTGTACTTCCTTCATGACCCTGAACTCACACATTTTAAACTCTATCTAAGAAGCAATATATCCCCATGCTCAGCTTAAATATTGGCCCAAGTTCACATTTTCTCCTCAAGGAAATGTGATTGTGTTCTCTAAAAGTGAAAAACCTCATCAGCTCGATGGTTAACCCTGTTCTCCTGATCGTGGTTTCATTCCTGGTTTCGATCCCTCTTGAGATGGCTTCCCTCTGAGAGTTGTGAAGTCTTTGTGGGTGAGCGCTGCGGTCTCATGAACAGAAGCTTCAGAGTTCAGTCCCCACCTAGCTGTAGCTGCTGCTGTAGCTGCTGCTGTAGCTGCTGCTGTAGCTCCACTTGGTTTGGTCTTTTCATGGGATCTGACAGTAAGAAAGGATAACCTCTCCTCTTCTCTCTCCTCAGCTGGGAGCCCATAGTGAAGTACGTCAATGAGCAGTATGAGAAGTACCTGAGGGAGGAGCTGCACGTGAACCGTAAGAGGAGAATACCTGACAGCAGAGTCCACTGCTGCATCTACTTCCTCCCTGCCACAGGACACAGGTCAGGGAGCAGCGTGACACTCTGCTGTGCTCTATAGTCTCAGTCAAGTATTTCATGACAGCTGACCGGGGACCTGTCTGTTTTCCAGGTTACGTCCCATCGACGTGGAGTTCATGAAGAGGCTGGGGAAGATCGTGAGCATCGTACCCGTCATCGCCAAAGCCGACACGTTGACCATCGAGGAGAGACAGGAGTTCAAGGAGAGGGTGAGGGAACACACACACACACACACACACACACACACAAACACACACACACACACTCACGACTGAAGCTTGTTTTCTCTCACTTTCTGATGTTCTAACTGTGGAACATGAACAAAATAAATCTGACAACATGCATGTGTTCAGCCCTCATGTTGACCTTCATGTAGAGCAGCCTTTCTGGAAGCATCAAACCACCAGTGGTCCTCAAGTGACCCCTGGTGGTCCGCCAGTAAATTTGTTCAAATATCATGTTTTAAATGAAGTGTTTCTCAAACTGTCTGAGTGACCACAAAGCCTATAGTAGTGAGTAGTTTTAATGCGTTGTCTTCAATATTAAATCAACTCACATGTAGATTCAAACATTATTTGAATTGGCTGTTTTAACAGTGCTATTGGACTTCACTGTAACCAGTTTACAGTTTATACTTTATGAATTACATCAACAACGATCAGCGTGACGTTTGACAGGAAAACGTGGATGAAGCTAACAGTTAGCCTGCCCTGGGATTGATGCTAAATGTCACCAGTTACCTGTTAACTATCAAACGCTGACAACAGACAAGATCATGGACCGGTGCGTTGAGACCGGATCAATTAAAAGAAAATCAAATGAAACCTCCGACATCTCACCTCACCACGACTGAGACTCGTAGTGCGTTTGATGACATCCCGCCGCAGATCGTGCGTGTGTGACAGTTTTGACTCTATGTAAATTGCACCACATGTTGTCGTGCAGTGTGTGAGGCGCAGGGGTTGTTCATAATTAAAACGCTGATCAAAAGGCCAAGTGGCCCGACAGCCGAGTAGTTAGGGCACTTGCCACATGGGCCGTACACTTTGCAGCATGCCGTTCTCTACTACTGTCTATCCTCGCATATCCTGTCTGTTCCCACCGTCCTAGCAAACTAACCTGTCCCAGGTGGCTATGCTAATACTATTGAAGTAGTAGCCCTATTGCTTTTGGGGATGTTGGAGGAGTTAGGTGGTGCGTGAGTTTCATTTTAGTGGTTAAGTGGTCCTTGGTCTGAAAAAGTTTGAGAGAGAGACAGATGCAGCAGCACAAAGAGCAAAAGGGCGGAGTGAAGGATGAGTATCATCTGAGGATGTGGTGATTTATAAATTCCCTCTCAACCAATCACATCACAGGTCTCATCACTCTGAAACAGCTGAGCCAATCACAAGATCTCTCATGTCATAAATGGTCACATCATATCTTAAAATGTGAAAACACCTTAATGCGTTTGAAGAATAACACATGAAATGCTACTGTTGCTATAAAAGATGTGTCCACGTGTGTCCTGCTGCCTTCAGGTGCTGCAGGGATTTAATGAAGAAAGGATTAGAAACTTTTCATGGTAGATACTGTCAGTCATGTTAATTTATTTAAGTTCTTGCTTTAAACGCATCACACATTATATTTTGAAACACATTCACTGGCTGGAGTGAGTTAAATGACGCTGCACATTTGCTTAAAGAATTTGACAGAATAATGAGGCTGGCAGCAGATTGATGCTGCTCCAGTTTTTCCACCGAAACTCCAACATCTCTTTTTGTGCTGCTTCATCTGATGACCCTCCCTCCTGGCGTCCCCTCTGCTCCGCCTGTGCACCAGCACCGATACACCGGCCCGTAGCTGTCAGTGTAAACCTGACCTGACCCCGTCTGACCTGTGTTTAACCTTTGACCTTTTGACAGATAAGACAAGACTTGGCAGCCAATGGGATTCAAGTTTACCCCCAGAAAGAGTACGACGAGGATCCAGAGGAGCACGTACTCAACGAGAGGATCAGGGTAATGTCTGCAAGTGACGGCTGACACAATCGCACCGGGGTTGTTTTTCTTTCTGTTGTAGTTGTTTGTTATTCGTGTTTTACTGTAGGATGGTATTTGTTTGTTAAAGGTCACACTGCTCATCACAGTTCCCTGCCTCATCATGTAGAGGGACACTGGGTCTGGTTTCAATATATTTATTTTAGTTTATGTTGCGCTCATGTTGTAACCCCAGCCTGCTGAGTCCACCGCATGGACATATATACATAGATGCCGCATTGGCCGCTGGATCGTACGTCAACGTCGGCGCCATATTGGACTGGGTAAGACTGGTCCGTAAACAAATAGTAATAAACAGAGGAGCTGCAGCTTGTCTGGATAAAAAGCACCAAAAAAAAAAGAATGTTTATATTTCTCGATTTCAATGAGTCGTTTTATATTCGAGGGTTTATGATCTACGTGGAGTATAAATAAAAGTTTGGTCTCCAGTTACTTAGAATGGAGATAGTTTAGTCTGTAATCACTGTTTTCAATAAGGAGGAGTGTGTATCAACGTATTTACTAAATTAAACTACTATTTATATTACATTAACTATTTATTTTTACTACTCAAATATTATGCTGCTGCTATAATGTTGTAATATATTCACGTTACACCTCGTAGTACTTAGGATATTAATAATAATAATACGATATACTGCTGTATGAGACTGTTATATACTTCTACATCTCACTTTATGTTAGCACACTGTACATTTTGTTTACTTTTTTTTTTTCTAGCATAGCCTGTCATGTAAATATGTCATCCTGCTTTAACACTTGAATTTTCCCCTCTGGGATCAATCATGTTGTCAGTAATTCAGTTCATGTAAACCTAACACTGATACACACTCCTCCTGATGGAAAGCAGTGATTACAGCCTAAACTATCACCATTCTGAGAAATATAAACATTATAGAGCTTTTTAAAAACCGCAGCTCCTCCGTTTATCCCTATTTGTATACAGGGTAGTCTCGCCCGGTCCAATATGGCGGCGGCGTTGACGCATCGCAGCAACGGGCTGAAACGACCATCTATGTATATATGTCTTTGTGTCCACTGTACTTGGTGGCAACAGGATGAGCACAATGCAAAGGGGGAGGTGGGAGTCTGAGTGGGAGGTGGGGTTCAAGGTGGCTGATAATTCCCGTTCTAACAGCTGAATAAAGAAACTGTTTGTTATGATATGCAGCTGTTATGTGAGCTAATTGTCTTGACTGTGCAGAGACTGGAGACACTGCAGATGTCTCATCTTCATATAAACCTGACTGAGACTCACTCTGTGTGTTCAGGAGAGCATTCCCTTCGCTGTGGTGGGGACCGACAAGGAGCACCAGGTGAATGGAAACAAGGTGCTGGGCCGTAAAACAAAGTGGGGAATCATTGAAGGTAAGACCTCAGTGTAACATCATACTCTCCTGGTTAACATTTACCTGATACAGTTCACCACTGTGATCTCAGAGGCTTCACTAACTTCTCCACAGCCACAGGGACGAGACCCACCACTGCGGTCTCTGTACCCGCAGCAGTGATGTCATTTCCTGCTTCAGTGGCAACGATGCTTCCAAACAAGTGATGGCATTTCTACCTGTGTCAGTCCCTCAGAGCACAGATGATGTGTGATGAGCTAATATATTATTTCCCCTGTAGGGGGAAGGTCTAGGTTCTCTAATACTGCGAAAATATCAAAGCGCTCAGTCCACAGAGAAATGCACACAGCCTGTATTCAGAAACTGAGCCTTAAAACGAGTCATCGGGACTTCTGGAACTTTGTGATGTCACCGCTCTCAGCCATGCCCCAAGCCCCGCCCACCTGGACCCACCATCCCACCTTGCAGGATTTGGTTTCTCTGAGTGTTTACCTGAAATCTGCTATATTTTTATTAGATCACTCAGAAAACAGTCAGCCAATCAGAAGAGAGGCTCAGAGCCTCCTCTCTTCTGATTGGCTCACTGACCTGTTGTTACTAGAGCTCCAGAGAGAAGCCTGAGAGAGGAGATGTAAAACTACATTGAGATGGTTTTTGGTTCTTAAAACCACAAATATATCTTCTCATGGATCAACACGTCAAATAAAACACAGAGAAGAGGAAAACATGTTGAAACATGTTGATACAAACTCACTACAAACAAAGAGAAATCGCTGTGACTCTGATATTAAATACAACACACAGACTCTCTGAATGCTCTGTATGTCAGTATCATCATTGTAATGAGTAATGAATCTGTTTTTCTCTCCACAGTTGAAAACGTGGCACACTGTGAGTTTGCCAACCTGAGAGATCTGCTCATCAGGTGAGTGTCACAGAGCTGCTGCACTTGATTCTTCATACAGGTGGTGGGATATGAGTCATGTGTGAGGACCAAGATGAGGGTCATGTGACAGGCAGCAGGTGGTCACATGACCCAAGCTCAGGCTACTTTATGGCTGCCAGACTAACTATACACCTCATACTGTAAAGAGCTGATCAGTGCAGAGGTGGCTCTGAAGTGCACCCACTGTAATGACTCTTGTCTGGCATGTCATTGTGTTCCCACTAGAATCACACGCACGCACGCACGCACGCACACACACATACACACACACAAGAAAACCACTCCCGGACACACCTAAAGTGTGAGAGTTGGATCCAAGGTTTGGGCTTCTCTCTCACGCCTAAGAGAGAGAGAAGCAACCAAGTGCAGCATTGTTAATGGAGAGACTCACTGTACGACTGCGGTATTAGAAATACCTTTTATACCGGATCATTAGTTATTTTCTTGTCTAAGCTGGGCTTTACCTCCCTCAGGGCTAACTGGAGATGACGACTGTTTATCAGGGTGTCTTGTGGAGTGTACTGCAGGGGTGTGGTCCCCGTTGGGCTCCAGCATGGTTGTGTCTTGTTTCCGTCACTGTTTATGATTTTCATGGACAGAATCCAGCCATAGTTGAGCTGTGCAGGGTGTCCAGCGTGGGGACATCAGGATTGCATTAAACCTCAGTCCTCTGTTTGTGCAGGATGCGTTCAGGGACAGTACTGAGTATAGGCTGTTGTAGTTAGGCAGGAGTAATGGAGTAAAACAAATGTGAAGCGTAACAGTACAGTTCAGGTGCTGTTAAGGTGCACGGGTGAAATGCTGTTGTTCTGTCAGACGTGCATGAGATGCACGTCTGAAATGTCTCCTGTGTGAATCATCAGATGAATCATGTTTTATTCAAGTTGTAATAAATCTTTTGTGTTAATACTTTCTTTCAAAATGACCTTTTGACAAAAAGTGTTAAAAAAAAAAAAATGTATGCATTTTTGGCCCCTAATAGCAAAGGACCTACAGCTAATCTGGTCCACAGGTCATCATTGTTTAGTTAAACTAACTAGGTGTGAAAAAACTAATAAATAAAATAAATACAAGGCTTTATGAAAAACTAACTGAAACTGTATTGTGTGTTTACAAAACTAAAAAAAAAACTAAAAGGATAGAAAGGCTGCGTCTGGTGTCGCCGGGTCACATGGTTGTGCACAGATCTACATTTCATGTCCTGTTGTTGAATGTTTCTGGTTATTGACACAAACGCACTGACTAGCACGTCTGTTATAGTCAGAGGTGGAAAAAGTACAAAAATATTGTACTCATGTAAAAGTACCAATACCTTTGATGAAACATTACTCAAGTAGAAGTAAAAGTACTCATCTGAAAATGTACTCAAGTAAAAGTAAAAAGTAGTTCATTTGAAATGTACTTTAAGTAAAAGTTACTTAGTTACTTTCTTTGTGTGGGGTGTGAGGGTAGGAAAAATAGGACAAGGGGTCAGAAATCTAAAACTATTTTGTTTTTAATTAAAGAACAAGTGTAACAAATGTAAGTGCAATAACAACAACTTCACAACAACTGAACTTCTTGTTCAGTTTAAGTAGCAGCTTAAAGTTAGTTGAGCTCATCCATTTAGTGGTACAACATTAAACATGCTTACTCTCACGTTTTCTCTCTCACCCTCATCATTTGTCACTGTTGGTTCTGGCCATTGTTTTACTGTCTATGGTTCTGGCGCGTATCTTTCCCCTGTAGGTTGAATTGTTATTTTTACTCAGTAACGGATAGGATTTATAAAGTAACTAAGTACAATACTTGCGTCAAAACATACTCTAGTAAAATACAAAATACCGATTTTAAATTGTACTTAAAAAATACAAAATACACAAAAAAAGTATTCAATACAGTAACGTGAGTAAATGTATTTCATTACTTTCCACCTCTGGTTATAGTTGTCTTTTGTAGATGGTTGTTCATCTGTCCTCAGTGAACACATTTTTAAAATGGTGTGATGTTTTGTTGAGTTTTTATACTTTCTCTGACAAATCCCACACATTACAAAAAAACTAAAACCAACACTGAAACTAATAAAAACTAAACTAAAAGTGAGTATTTTCATAGAATGAAAACTAAACTAAACAAACAAAACTGCTTTAAGAACTAATTAAAACTAAACTGAAATTGAAAACAAAAAGTCAAAACGAAATAAGAATAAAAACGAATGAAAAATCTCCAGGAACTCTGATGTAGTGCATACGGGGGTGATTCAGAGGATAATGAATATGAAGTGGTGAATGTTTGTGTTTGTGTGTTTACTCAGGTCTCACCTGCAGGACCTGAAAGACGTGACACACAACATCCACTACGAGACCTACCGCGTACGACGGCTCAACGAGAGCAACATGGACTTCAGTGAACTGGGACTGACCCCCTGGCCCCTGGAGAACGGGACTGCTGACAAATGTGAATCAGAGAGCCACCTCTGATCTGTCCATCGTCCAATCAGAGCGAGCTATTTTTACCACATCAAACATGAGGTGGAGAAATGATTTTGTTTTTTTTGTTGTTTTTTTTTCATTATGGGACCAACTAGTCGATCGTTTTTAACTGTCTGAGTTTTACACAGGAAGTGCAGCAAATATGAATATATTTTTGAATGTGTGCTGGTATGTGTTTTCTGGAAGGATGGTGACATGTAGTGCAGGGGAGGGGGGGGGGGGGGGGGGGGGGGGGGAGCAGGCAGCACAACATAAACATCAGTGGTGTCAAAAGTATGTGGACAGCCCAGACCCTATCACCTGAGGCCACTGCGGCTGCAGGTTAACACTCATGTTCACCGCCACATGGGTGGAGTATCTGTGTGTCGGCATACTTCACACAGGTGTTAACAAACGTCTGGCAGCGTTTCCTGATGAGGTCACGTGGGTTTAAGGAGAAAAACTCATCGTGATGTCGAATTTGTTTAACAACAGCTAAAGCAGTTAGCCATGTGAAGCAGGTGAATGGAGCTCCTCCCGCTGCTGTGTCCACTGCTGCCCTGTTCATTCAGACTGTTTGACCCTGTGAGAGCCGAGTCGTCTCACCCGCTGTGGGCGATGTGCAGGTTTGGTTTAAGTTGCTTTTTATGAGAAAGTGGAGTTAATGGCAAAAGATGTAACTGTAGGGAAGGTAAACTAAACGATTAGAATCTAGGGGGTTTTTGGAGGACACTGATGCTGTTTTTTGGCCCACATATGTTTTTTTTTTTAAGCTTGTAGTCCACAGTGAAAGTGCCAAAATAACAGAGACATGATGCAAGTGATTATCCTCTAACTCCTGTAAAGAGTAGCTGTATTAAAACCAGTGTAGTCACCGGGTTACTGTAAATCCATGTATACATGCAGCAGATCAGTAACCAAGTTTCAGGCTCGGTGATCTGAACTTCTTTAGACCTCTGCAGGACACTTTGTGTTAGTTTCAGATTTAACATAGTGTTAAACTTTCCACATCTGTGAGCACATGAGGGTCCACGTAACCTAACTGTCCTCATAAGAGGGTGTAGGAGAGGCTCTGTGCGGACGTCTGCTACAAGGACTTCCAGCTGCTCATACTTCGCTCCGCCAATCAGACTAGAAAGACGTGTAATAACAACAGCTTGTCCACTATGATTGAGGCCTTAGTGAGACTTTGGACTGAATATGAAGACACATCAGTCAGTGTCGTGTTTCAAAAGGTCAGAAAACCTGAGAGAGATGATAGGTGTTCTCCAGGAGAAATCAGGTTTCTCTGATCCCCCGTGATCCAGTCTGTCAAACACGCTGACAACAGAGCTGTGTGTCAGAGTCAGAGTTAGACCGGCCCCTGTGCCCTGAGCTCTCACTACCAGCACCACAGGCACGTCCTACGCTGAGTGTCACAGATGACACATCTGACGTCCTGACGTGGTGTGTTGTAGCTGTGACCACACCCAGCTGTGCACTGTGAAGAGCTGGGGCCAGATGCATAAATGATGCAGACACCATTTCCCACTCATAAAATAAATTGGTCTTCATAAACACAGAATGTGTCACCTCACACGTTCCTTTGACCGTGTGAACACATAACCAACTTCACGGAGCTGGCAGTCGTTATCAGTACAAGTTTTTCCGTTTCCACAGTAATAACAATTTTACAATTCATAAACAGAAATAATTGTTTGTGCTCAATGTTTTCTTCGGCGTTGTTTAATGTCCTTATTATTTATTGTGAGTCATCCTGTAACTGTCTGATACTATATGAATATTTACTGATCACAGTGTTGGAGCCTCTGGAGCCTCATTAAGACTGTCTGGTCCCAATGAACGAAGTTCAGAGTGAAACAGGACTTTACATTAGAGTGATTGTACTAAAGTAAACTGGTGCAGGTTTTTACCTCCCATCTGTAAGAGCCTCAGTTTCACCATCGTCTTTCTTCTCTGTCTGATCACTTGTGGTGGAGACAGTGTTTTTATATAAACTGATGGATTAAGGGAGAGTCTTCATCCATTTATGGCTAATTGTGAGAGTGGAAATGAGGCCCAATTTGTCAATGAGTGAGACTGATGAAGTAGAATCATGTTTAGACACGGCTTTCTAATTCTGATGAGGAGAATGTGCATGAATATTTTCTGGTTTTGTGCGTACACATGGTTTTAGTCATGAATCTACACAAGAGTTTTATGCATCTGGCCCCTGGAGTGTTGAGGCTCGGGACAGAGAACTGCAGCAGCTGCTGCGAGATGGCAGCAGAGGATGTGTGGAGGATAAAAGAGACCCTGCATTTTCACATTTATCCACATCAGTGTGAGTGTGTTAGACTGTATTACCCAGCACTGACAGTTTTCACTTCAGTATGTTCTGTAATGGTTGGACTTGTGTTTTATCATGTGCACAGGCTACATGTTTTCTGCCTGCCGTCATTAGTTAATTCATTTCTTCAGTTACGTTTGTTATTCAAATATTCCAAAGATATTTTTTTATCCAAGAAAAAGCTGTGTGTTCTACATCTTCCATTCCCAGTGGTTCCCAGTTCTGTACTGGTGACTGAGCAGCTGGAGCTGGATTCAAGTCTGACTGTCTGTGCCTTGGTCTTGCTTCATGATAGATATTTTAAACACCTCTCAGTATATATAAGTGTAATGTGGAGTCCAGTTTCCTCAGTACTCAACCCTCCAGCTGCAGACCAGAACTGAACCATGGAACATGTGCTACCAAGCTATAAGAAAACAACATCATTATAGACAGTTTGTGCAGTAATCATCAGTATTTAAGGTAATCAGCTACTTGATCTGCATGTGGTCTGTGAAGTTCTGATACCCAACCCAAAACCTGGTTCTCCCAGCCATGTTGTTGTGTCAAGCTTTGACTGTGGGTCAGATTCAAATTTGGTTTATTTCAGATGCAATTTATAGAGAAATTTCTCTCTTTATGTCAGTCATCTGTTTTCAAACAACAAATATAGCTTCAGGTGTCAGGTCGGGTTTGGGTCTGGTTCAGTCCGGTCCAGGGGTGCTGGAGACTTTCTCCATCTCGAGATGATCTTTCTGCTGTAGTTTATCTTAATGACTCACTGCTCTTACATGTGTGTGCTTTGTCTGTTTGCAGTTTTATGACTCATCTTTATGTATGTTAGAGATGTGCAGTAGAAGCACAGGTCTCACTGATAAGGCCTGACTGTGCGACGGTGAACTGAAGCAGCTTAATGGAATTCAGCCGTCATTCATTGTATTAGTTACATCTGTGCTGTTTCTCCTGTGACATGAGAAAGACGACAACAACTACTCATGTGGCAGGGTTTGAATTTTACAACAGTCAGATTGTTAATGATTATATGATAAAGCATGCTCAGCTGACAGCTAAAGAAGTATAAGTAAGTTAAAGGTACCCTGTGGAGTTCAGTATTACTCACCAAATCTCTGTTTGAATCCTTGAGGTCCAGTAAAAGTGTAAAGTACTTCCTCATGAAGCATTTTTTAAAGTTCTATCCATGTGCACCTGCCTGAAGTCTTCTTCTTCTCTGCCTTTGTTGGCACAGTGCTGCATGTTTCAGTGTGTTACCTGCGCTGTCAGCTGCATGTCAGAAAACTCCACAGGGAACCTTTAACTACACATGAGCATGGTCACAGTTAGCATCGTTGCTACATTTTGTGTAACTAAAGAACAGAGGATGAGTCTCTGTCTGTTTTGTAGAGGTTTAACTACCTGTCATCCAAACTGTCAGTTTCCCTCTGCAGTCACCTGTCATCACCTGCAGTCACCTGTCGTCCACAGTGACTCCAAACCCTCCACAGTCACGTTGGCTCAGATCATGTACTGCATGTCAGACATTAGTGTTCCTGACCTCTGACCTCTCTGCTCCTCTCTGTATCCTGACCCCCCTGTCACCCTCCCACCCCTGTGTTTTATACATATACTAACAGTTCTGTATGATTATTGTCTTGATGTTTTTTATTAGTATTAATGATACACATGTTAACACTGTTGATTTATAATTAAATACTTGTCACTTTCTCAGTCCAGTGTAAAGTCGTTGTATTGAACCTGATGGTTTTGGTCACCCTGTGACCTTTCTTCCACTTCACCACTGCTAAGCACCAACTAGAAAAAGGGCGTCTATTCTGCGGCCCCGCACCGCCAGGGGCCTCAGAAGAGCCCTGGTTCACTGCGTGTTATCACAATAAAGTTGTTCTTATACTAAAACTTTATACAACAAATGTTGCTGGCTGTCACTCCTCTGTCATCCAGGGTTTGGTTATTTGATTTACTGCACATTTATTTAGATTTTCAAAGTTAAATTCAACAATATCACAAAGGAAGCTCCTGCATTATTACAGCTAACTAACTTAAGACACAAAAAAACCTGGGTCTGTAGGAGCAGTGAGTTGGTCTCTATCTGCCTGAGGGTGTAATGAAGCTGATATGATACGTAATGGGATCTCAGAGGCTTTAGGGTACATACTCACCACTCAGAGGGCAGTATGTGTGGGGTTAACGAGGGACCCAACAGGAACTTTTAGCCCCAGAGCTCCAGACATACATTTGACTATGACAACAAAGTAGCAGAGAATTCCTCTAGGGATTTACACAGACATCAGAGTAGTACAGTATAAGATACAGCCTACATTCCCCATAATGAAGCATTTCATTAGATCCTCCCTGCCTACCAGATCAACATTTAATGAGACTTTACAATGGCACTGACAAGACTTCAGGTTTGTCTTTGTCCTGACTTTAAAGGTCTGTTTCTCTTGCTGTGACAAGTCAGAATGTTTGCTGTGAATATCGTCTAGTGTGAGAGAGAGAGAGAGAGAGAGAGAGAGGCAAGCTGTAAGTGTTTACTGTCTCAGTGTGTCTCTTACCAGACCTCTGGTGCCTGTTATTCAGGGTGCACAGGAGAGCATGCAGCTCCTGTACATGGGAGAAGTCTCCTTCAAGCTCTCTGGATAAAAAGGTTGAAATAAAAATAAAGAAAATGGTGAAAAGAATAGGTTAACTAAATCAGTAAATATAATGAAACTCAAACCCCAACCTCATAGATGAAAATCTTATGTGTGATCCATTTTTCCATCACAGCTTATCACTTGTGTGAGCTTGTTGTTGTTCTCTTCACAGATTAAAATCAATTTCTGACCAAAAGACAGAACAGAACAGTAATGTTACACAACTTGCTAACACACATTATATGTAT